GAACCCACATGCACCATTGACTTGGGTCATTGTACCGGTACATATAAGTCGGGATTGTCCACTTTTTCTTAATATGTATCGTATATCCTTCACAGGGTGTCCTGAGTGAACCCACTTGCACCATTGATTCGGGCCGCGACGGGGACATCGAACCCATACGCTTTGCGTATGTGGCCGACAGGAGCTATCGCGACACTACCAATCTGACCATTCTGTTGAATGAGATGTCAGGTATGGTATTAGTGTGTCAGTATGACAACTATACGTGCAAGATGACGATACCTCTCAACACGTTGTAGTATAATCGTGTGTGTGATAACGTTAACTATATAATATAGCTATATATCTATATGACTATAAAACCTACCCATTCTGTTGAATGACCTGACAGGTATGGTTGTGTGTGCATGACAACTGTAAGTGCAAAGTGAATATATCCCTCATCAAGTAAGATAGTTACAAACTACTATAAAACCTATCCTTACTACTGACCGAACAGATAGGTATGGTAGCGTTGTGTGTATGACAACTATAAGTGCAAAATATCTATAACTATATGATATAGTACGAGGTCACAGGTATTAGCATTGTTGTGTGCTTGTGGGCCTATATATATATATATATATACATCAACACGTATCACTCAATATCCTGCTGGTAGATCTCAACAGCGCCGTCTTCTACATTTAAAAGAACTTAAATATTCATACAGATATGCACCACCCATCCCTCTGGTCACAGGTCTAACCTACGAAGTGCTCTGGGCCAAAACCGACCACGTGGCAATGGATATGATCAAAAACAACCAAGCAGACTTGGCCTATGTCGATATCCCGGCAGCGGTGTATGGTATGGCCACAGACGATAACATCCACGTCATGGCAGCGGCTTATGCGCCTGTTACCAACCTGCCTTATCTTGAGGCTCAGGCATGGGTGGTAAGTGTGTGAGGTGCAGTGTTTATACGTATAGATGGATGAACAGATACTTTGGATAGATATCGATACAAATCTGTTTGTCATGTGTTGCCATGGAGTGTTGTCATAGATACGCCGCACCCGCATTCATTAGCATATACAAGCAATAACACATCAGCACCACATTGGCTAAATGACAGTGTTTAGGAGTTTCTTTTTCCCTCTACCTACCTCACTTGGTAGCCTGTATCTTACTACCATAGTGCTTAGGCTCATTTGTTAGGGCTATTTATCTTATTCCCTCTTCCTACCTCGCTTGGTAGCCTATATTTACTACCATAGTGCTTCGGCTCATTTAAATTCATTGCCTACGTTGCCACAGCTTACCAACTCGTCTATCCAGACCATTGCCGATACGAAGGGATCGAATGCGTGCCACCCGGCCATGCGTTCATCAGCCGGAATGTATATGTGGCTGCAATACGCGGTATGTGACTGATAGTCAGTGTAATGTGTACGGACAATCTCATTGGGTTTTAGGTTCATTGCGCTGCCGTGTGTGGTGGGTGGTCCGTAAGTGTATCATGATATCATAAGAGTCCCATTCGCAGAGTAGGATATGTGGTCAAAGTCTCATTGGGCTGCCATATATGGTCAGTGGCCAATACTCCCGATGCGGTGCTGCGCATGTATCCTGAGAAATCAATACGTGAGAGCATTCTGTGGGATGTGACCCTAAACCCCTAAACCCCAAAAACCCATAGGCATTATGATACGTCGTGAATGTCCCATTGGGTGGTAAGTGTCGTTATAAGCAATACGTCCGTTGTGGACTCCCTGTCCCACAAATTTCTTTTGCGCAGTTTAATTTGCGAGGATTTGAATTGTCCCGCCCACTCCGGCAGAGGTCTATGACACCGACACCATCGCATATGAAGTAGTCGCCCACCTCGTCTGTGTAAATTGGGATTAAAGCCAATGTTACTGCCCAGATAACATAGGCCTTAACATGAACGGTACAAATGGTGTGCCACTGATCCTGTCCCACAAATCCCTTTTGGTACAGATTAGTGAGAACCTCATCGAACCGCCCACTCTGTCTGAGGACTATATCACGGACACGGGCCTTGATCACCTCACGTCCGCGATTGAGACGTGGTTCCAGAAGACTTGCGCCGAGCCTCAGCTGTGTAGCGCCTGCGCGGATACCAAAGTCGATGGTAAGTGTGTGGGTAGATCCCTGGTGGGATGAGAGTATATACCTACCTACGGGTTCAGAAGATTCAATGCCTACCTACGAGTTCAGAAGATTAGTAGTATGCAACTTGGTTGTTCAAGTGTCTGTTCGCATGAGTGGTGTAGGAGCACGTGCAGATTCGAGGGTTATTGTATATGCTTGCGTGTGCTCAGGAGTCGTTGGTATGATGATACCCATGCGATGTGCTGTATTGCAATAGGACCGTGGTAGTCAACGTCTTCCGTTCTGTATTGCTCAATGTATATGCGCCCCTGTATGAGCGAATCACAGTTTAATCAACGTCTTTCATCCCGTATTCCTCCGTGTAGATGCACCTGTGTGAGCCCAAGTTTAATCAACGTCTTCCATTCCTTTAAAGTTATAATTGACAGGCCATGGGGTGTGTGGGGTGTCTTTGATTTCGTGCATGTCCATACAGTCCGATGCAACTGCTACTCTGTCTCGCTGTGATGTGTCGTAGTTGTGCGTTTAGATTCGTGCATATCAATGACACCTGCTTGATGTATCTGGAATGTGGTCCAATCCCTCTCAGCGTTCCATTTACTGTACCCGCTTCTCTTATCCATACGGGATGTTTATTGCCATGCTTTAGATAGATGCTAGTAACTGGTGTGTTTATTTAATCCTGATGTATGTACACCTCATGTCTGTACAGGCCTTTGTAACGCTTTGGACGATTACGCTGGGCTTGTGGGTGCGCTCAAGTGTCTGACACAGGGCGGTGGTGATGTGGCCTTCTTACCCGATCACGCCTGGGAACAGGTATGTGCGCACAGGTGCATATATATATATATATATGTGTGTGTGTGTGTGTGTGTGTGTATGTGTATGTATTTGTATATTTACTCGTATATATATATGTATATATGTATATATATATATATATATATATATAGATGATTCTTCATTGCTAGTAAATCTACACATGTTTTGTTTAAGCTTGTAGTTGTATCGTAAATTAAGTTGTTGTTTCGTAATTGTCTTGCATCGAGTGCTTCGGTGGTACGTTTGTCCCCACTTGATATACAGGTGATTAAAAATAGGGTCAGATTTCTGTATAATTTGGTCAAAGATACCGCCAAATCTCCACATATTATGGTCAAAGTTAAGGTCAAACCCCATACGCACTACATATATACTCTCAAGTCAAATCTCATGCACTTCTCCAGATCTGTGAAGAGCCCCTGCCCGAAAACGAGGCCTGGTGTCTGTCCAAAGATTCGTACAGACTTCTGCACACCTTCGGCGAGGTGCCCACGCGCATGTTCGTGTCTTCGAACGGCCGCTTGACTTCCCACTCACACAGTATCATCGACGTATGTGTCGGTTTAGAACTTGGAATCGACCCTTTTGTTTTGTTGTTGTTGTTGTTGATGGGGGCCCGCCCACACTCAGTCGGTTTGGAATTTATTTCCAATTCCCGAAATATTCTCTGCACTGGATAATTGGGTTTTGAATTGGAGTTTTTAAGTTTGGTATTCAATCCAATCCATCCCCTTGTATTCTAATTCAGTTTGCCTTTGCATTTGATGCACATTCTATCTATCTCCAGGGTCTCCTTCTCGAGCTAGAACCACGAGAGATAGCCGTTCATGCGCAACTCAACGCGTATTTCGACAACGGGCGGGCCGATGGCTATGCACGAACAACCGATATGCAGACACGCATGGACACATACATGCAATCGCTGGCGTGTGTGCCTGATGTGTACTACTTGATGGGTCTTCCGGATGAAGTGGAGCTGCCATCCTGTGATGTGAGTATATATATTGTATACTGATGTGTGTATGTACATCTATATCTATATCCATATCCATATGTATATGTATATGTATATGTATGTATGTGGATATATGTGTGTGTGGCTTGATAGTTTAGTTGAGGTGCCGTACCTCATCGGTCACAAGCCATAGATGTCTAGTGTTGGCCTGTGTACTTGGATAGATGTGTACATTTTAAATGTACACTGATTGGGTAGAGAGTCCAAAACTATGTATGTGCGTGTCCGAGTCGTGTTGAAACAAGCAAGCAACAGTACATTTGCCGGCCGGATCCATTTTAACTCCAAGGAGGTCTGAACCATTTCAACTCCAAGGAGGTCTAAACCATTTTAACTCCAAGGAGGCCTTAAACTATTTTGACTCCAGGGAGGTCTAAACCATGTGCGATTCACCGCACTCGCTACTCGCTCCATACGTATATAGGACTAGGGTACTTTCTTTTGAACATGACTCAAGGCTGTAGCCATAGCAACCCTCTTGCTTGGGTCCTTGGTGTCGCCCATACAGTGGTACAATGCCGTTGTCCACTCGCCGTCTATTGACCGAGTAGCTGGTCACTCTTAGTCCTCCCAACTGTCGTCTTGTCCTCACCGGTTTCCTATAGTGTACACGTGACATGGGAGCCCATTCGTTCGTACGCACGCTGCACATATCACATCCTTTATTTGCGCTCTGCTGAACCATGCGAATGCCCCGCCACCACAGATCCGTCTCAATCCCAACGTAGCCATCCAGGGTGAGCCGATTCCCTCCCCAAGTGCGAGTGCGTCTATACCATCTACGTCACCAAGTGCCAGTGCGCCTGTGCCAAGTGTAGAACCCTCCCCCTCACCCAGTCGGGATGTGCCTGTTCTAAATATAGACCTGAACAAGGAGATCGAGAATTCCCCCGGACAGACGACCACTGATTCGAGCAGTGTCAATGACGAGTTTACAAGTCAGACCTCGGCTAACTCTGCTGATGCGAACGAGGATTCGATTGAGTCTCTGGCTATAGCGGCGATAGGTAAGGCTGTATGTAGTGTGATGCTCTGAAAGGAAGGCAAGTGTATCAAAAGGCGGGTTTGGTGCTTGTTAATTGAATACTTTCAGATGTTCGGAGTGATATATGAGTGGATGGTGTATGTAGCGGGAATCAGGCCAGCATGTGCAAATGTATTCCTGTGCCACTTCATCCGTGGGCTTAAGTGTGTGTGTGACGTCACCCCGTTTCTTCGGACACTGTCAGATAGGCTATATCTCGTGTATTATACTGCGTGAATAGACAATTTTTTTCGCATCAGTTCCGGTGCTTTCCTATCAAGCGTGGGCCGAAAGCACCATTTTAACTAATCTAAACCACCCAAACGATACCACCTCCTCATCCTTTGGCTTGGCGCAGTGCTAGCCGTGTTATTCCTGGTCAGCGCCCCGTTCGTCGCATTCGGCCTGGCCCGCAAATTGAACCGAAGGTGGCTGCGGAAAAATGGACTGGATGGGTATGTGACTTGCACGCCAGGTTTTGAGTCGCGTGACCAGAGTTCAGTGTGCGTTGCGGCATCTCAGTCACGTGCTCCGCTTTCTCCAGTAGTGTCGCACGGGTGTGGGTTTGAATCAGATCTGCACGCACACACAGGCATGACATGCGAACATCATATACATTGGGAGTCGAACGGTATGTATATGTGCAGCATAGTTAATCCTGTTAGCTTAGGTGCACGCCCTTGACCTCCCTATGGGTATACGTATGCAGGGTATGCCAATCCTTTTCATACTCGATTTTCAGACTCATTCCTCTATATATATATGTGTGTGTGCGTATGCGTGTGAGTATGTATGTATGTATGTGTGTGGGTGTGTAAGTATGTGTGTGTGTGTGTGCGTAATTTTGCAGTGATACTTGAGGTGCCTTCACATCATTGCATACACGCCCATTGCCTGAACGTACATATGATACCTTTGGGGGTGGAGAGGGCTTCTCAGATGTCGGCGTTGACCCTCAACGCGTATGCATGCTTACCATTGTATCCCATCACGCCAACAGGGCGACATCTGCGAGGGGTAGCAACGCTAGTACTTTCGATCCCAATTCGTTCGAAAGCACAACTTCGACTACAAATACAGCGACGGCTGTTGATCTCAATCAACGGCCCAGTGACCTGCCCATGGTTGGCACAAACCAACGGCTGGTTTAGTTCTGGACCTCCCCTAACAACTCTTCTGTTGGAGGGCAACGCAGGTACTCAGTCCAAGGTACCGCAATCGTATTGCGGCCGTGGATAGGCCAGGAATTTAGCCGACAGTAGCGCTGAGCTGAAGTGGCAGACAAAACACGAAGCGTGTGTAAGTCCTGTCTGTCTGTACCCCCTCAAGACATGGATGTGTATTATTTTCCCGCACGCACTTCTCAACACGGTCTTTTAAATTCACGTTCCAAAGTGCGCCCTGGGCCTGAGGATAGTGTATCGACCAGGTTTGGGCTCCAAATATTCCGATTAAACTGGTTGGCAAGCGGGCAGCCCATTCGCTTTACCTGCGCATACGTAATGCGAGAAATCTTCGGTGCTTGCGCACTCGATAATAAAGAATTCTAATCGAGAGGGAGCGATACAATCTGGCGGTGTTGGTCTTCATCGCCATATTTTGTGCTCATCAAATCAGGTGGCTATATTACAGTACATGATAAATCGACCTCGATTTATATGAACAAAGCCTATAGGTACATTGATGTGGCGTCATTACGTGCATCTTTAAGTGATTAGACCCGCTGACAACGCATATTTTGCTTGTGGTTGATATCCAAGCAGCGGCCTCGCAACAAAAACTTTAGTAACCATCCGCGGAAAGCCCCATAGTGACAATAGCATTGTTTCTCTACATTGATCCCAAGAGCTTGCACATTGATATGAAAGTTAGTAGTTTAATGAAAGATAGTAGTTTATCCAGCATATATACTGGCGATCAAACTCGATGATTCGAGAGAGCGTCACAGAACGGGAACCCATTTGCATCCATTTGTTCCACGTGCAGTCCGTTTCCGCCGGATATCGCGAAGGGGTAGGTCAAAAAGAAATATATACATGCACGAAAACGGCCCTGATATTCAAAGATACGACAGTCTGACTCACTCGAACAGCAAAAAAGATAAAAATGCTGTGCTATAACCTATATAGTTTTGTTGCCTAAAAATCTACTCTAGACACTGATACGTGCTTAATGAAAAGGCAAAAGTGCCTCATACTTGGGCCACAGTTGGTGGTGACTTTATACTTGTCCCAACTACGTGTGTACGCGTTTCACAGTATATCACTCGTAGCTGGTGCGATATTCAGATGTAGCAACACAGTATTCACAAATTGTGACAATAGTCCTAAGATATACCGGCGAAAGAATTGTAGCGATCGCCTCGAAGTGTGTACCAATATTTAATTAACTATGTCACATTGAATTATATTAATCTAAGGTTTCTCTCGTCTGTAAGGTAAGCAACGGCCGTGCTTGTATACAGACGTAAATTATGACAACGACACCCTCTAAAGGGGCAGGGCCAAAGACAGTCCTGTCATCGCAATTAAAACAATAGTGGAAGATGATACGTTTCCGGCGGCGTTGGTATTGGCAACGTCATCGGATCCCTGCACATCTCCACTGGCTGTGATACTGGCAGGACCTTGGCCGTCTTGACTAGGATCTGAGTCATCTTGGACACTAGTATTGCCATCCGTGGTGGTCTGTCTGCGACGACGACGACGACTGGGGGCACTTGCTCCGTCTGTTTCGTATGAAACGTCAACTAACAAGCGGAGATCGAATCCTGTTGTTTTGCCCAAGCCTGGGTTTGCAAATTTGGGATGGACAGCGTCGGAGATCAAATATCGAATCAAGAAAGTCTGGTCCACCACACACAAGCCCAGCTCTGGACATCTGAGTTCTCCTTCGTATGTGGTCGCAGCATCAAATGGATTGGGATCAGCGATAGTAACTCTGGTTGCAGTATAGTCAATGTCAGGAACCAGGGCTCCAGTCACTTTCGGGTAAGTTGATCCAAGGGTATCAGCCCAATCGTCCTCGGGTTCCAAATTGCTCTCTCGTGCCTGACTTGAAATGATGGTCACTGCGGTGACATCCAGTTTACTAAAATCTACACGAGCATATGCGAACTGGCCGAATTCTATAGCCGTGATAGGTGTATCAGCTGAGGGTTTAGTGGTAGTTACACCGGTGACGAGGTCCACTATATCATAAGTACCGTCCAAACGCTGTCTGTTCTCCGGGTCAACGAAGATAAATTGATCGATCGCAACTGCGCTTTCGATGAGTACCGCTTCTGCATTCTCTCCACAGAAGTTATCGGAAGATAACACGAACTCAATTGTAGTGTCTCTGTTTTGTTGATTGATAGGACACTCTGCCTCCGGTAGAGATTTGTAACAATCGATCACGACATCTGTAATAGTATATGTACCATCTAAAGTGCACTGTCCGTGCACGAGCTCGATATTAGCAATCTTGGCACACCCGTTGTTAGCTAGAGCATAGTCTTCTGCTACACAATCCTCCATGTCGATATACGTGCCACTGTTAGCACTGAGACCGCAAGCGCCCCCGCCGTTTGGTTGTTCGCAAATAAATGCTTGGTTTAGCGTGCCGCCTGTGTTTGCTAACACAGGGTTCATCGTCAGCACGGAATAAGGTTTGCTAAGCACATATGTGAGAGTAAGATGAGACGCAGAAGCTCCCTCGTTGATGGCCTGAGCCGTTAAAGCTGTGTCGATCACAAATGGCGAATACACCTTCACTTCTGCTGTTTCAGCTGTCACTCTGTTACGGACCAGAATGCTCGTTGGAATCACTACCATACCCGATCGTGTAACGATGTTCGTTGCAACAATCGTGGGCTCTTGGTATTTGAAGACTATTTGCTCTGTATAGTTTGCATACTTGATATCCGGGTCAGATTCATGATCGGCCAAGGTATATTCGAAGCCACATGCACCCCTCAAATCGGTAAGTTTCATTGTGAATGTTATTTCATCCAAACAGCCAGGATTGGCACTTAAATCAGGCACACTTGTTTGAACGAAAGACTCTAAGTTGGCTCCGTTAAGACATGTGCCCACGGAGAACCCGGTGAATATTCGATCGAGCCCGGCCGGCCATTTTACTGTCCATGAGACATCTCTGTCTCCGACAAGCGTTTGCAAGGTTGTGGACTCTTGAGTAACCAATACTTCCCTCGGCTTATCAATTGCATTATTGTAACTGGGACACAAATTGTAGTCCGGAAGAGGATCTGTCTGCGCGTTGCAGGTTGCGCCCATATAGGTAGAGTCGCACAGACACGTTTCAGTCGCAACGCCAGTAAGTTCAAAGCTGGTTGCTGCACAGGCTGCAGATATGATCCCAAAGACAGACACTCCGGTCGCCAAGACTAATTGCAAGTACTTCATGATGTCATATGAGGCTATGTTTGAAACTCACAGTTGGATTGCATTTGCTGAAAATCAGACGGATTTGCTGCATTTTATACAATTACTTGTACATTATTTATATCGATCGCGAGTTACCTGTGAAACGTTGCTCGTTTACAAAATGTCGCACTCTTCAGTGTGTGAAGCGCGTCTCGATTGGTTCGACCACAGTTAATTCTCTTTTTAAAAAAGGTACAAGTTTTTTTTTAGTTCTCGAAGAGTCGAAGATCAATTGAATACTTTTTGCTTCTGTTTTGTTTAAAAAAAAACTAATATTGTATCATGCAGTTTCATACACAAAAATGTCTTATTTATTTTAACAAAATACAGTAAATATTTACATATTTTGGTTTCGTTTGTTTTTTTAAAACAAACTGGTGTACCATACTTAGACAGTATTTATGTACTATGTACTATGTATTTATGTCCATGTGGTATGAACATATATAAATAACTTTTTTTTGTTATAGAAATTTATATAAAATACATGTTTTTAAATTTTTCTGTTGTTTATGTCGAAGAAAATACGAGAGGAAATAAACGTATTTGTTTTTGTTTTGTTTTAAATAAAAATACAAAAAAAACAATAAACTATACTTTGTATTTACTCATTATCGCATTTTCTTATTTTTAAATTTCATAAGCCCCCTGTGAAATGAAAACACGATCATTTTTGATTTTTCCTGAATTTTATCGTACGAGCTTGCCGTGTTTGATACATAAAAATTTACAATTGGGAATTGAGAACCCTTCGTGTCGCAGGATTCTTTTGGAAAATGTAGCTTGGTTTACTTGAGGAAATATATTTTTTAAAACAAACCAATTTTCAGATGAACATGTGTTTTGTGTGTATTTTATTTTTATAAAAAGCACTCGGTTTAACAATTTGGGCAGTGGTATGATGCGTAGAAATCTAATTTTGTTTTCAAAATAAAACAAAGTGTATGAAATTATGAATAGCTAACCTTAGGGACGAATTCCCGAATTTCGATTCCCCCCGTAGTGAGCGTAGCTCGTACATAAACGTATTGAATTCTGAATGAATGTGGGAGGAGCAAGAGGACGCAAATTCCAAATTCCAAATTCTAGGATTCCCGACTTCAGAAGTTCAGACTTCAGTCTTCAAGGGCTTGTCCCGGCCTAATATTGAGTTGTCAGTTGTCAGTTGTCAGTGAATTGATTTGTGACTGTGAGTCTGTGTCAGTGTGACTAATACGACTATGTATTTACAATAGTCTGAGAGTTAAAAACTGTGCTGAGAGGGACTGGGAGTGCGAGTGTGAGACTGTGACTGTGAGTCCTGTGAGAGTTGACTCAGTTTGTCGAGGTATTTTTTATTGGGGTTTTTTTTAGATACGTAAAAGTGCATAGCCTTCTGAAAATCGAATATTTTTTTAAAATAGAAGAAGGCTATGAAAAGTGCCATACAAAAACAGATTTTGATATGTATCAGTTGATCCAGTTCATATTCCATAGCCTTCTGAAAATAGAACATCAGAAAGCTAAATATGTATGAACAGTTAGTTTTTTTTTAATCAAAATAATACATGTGTACAGTCATAGACTCATAGACTCATTGACTTTGTCTATACGACACCTGTCACTAACGTGCCTAAAGTCGCATCCGGTCCATTCGCAAAGGTAGGGTCGATATTTATGGGCCCACGTAAGGCGACTTTGACCAAGTACCGAACTATTAAGCGTGTACACTTGCAAAAAAAATCTTACAACAGTCCAAGTATTAGTTTTCGGTACCTATTCACGCCTCAGACTAGAGAGAGCCAAAGTTCTGTTTTGAACCTGTGAGCGTTGAATTCGTGGATCCATACTTCTGAAAATTATTCATAAAAAAATATCGTTTCATAGATTATACAAGAAATTTTTTTTAAAAGAAGGCTATGTAAAATATGACCGTTTGGTTTGCACAATAGCAACTGTAGTTCAACAATGTTGAATTTTAAATTTGGTTTTGTCCCGTTCTGTTGTAAATTTCAGATCCAAGGGATTTTGTCCTGTTCTGTGATTTCATTTAACCGCAATTTGTTTTTAAAAACATAATAATTTCAGAACAAAATTCCCTCGGTTCATACACATAGGAATACTAGGGCTCGGGCGTTAATAGTTTAATATAGCGGCGGGTCACGGGTGTCGTCGTATAGACAAAGTCTATACATATTTATTCATAGTAGAAGAAATCACGGGTAGAGAGAGCTCTGGATAGAGACTTTATTTTTAGTCTCTGGTGAACAATATGAAGTAATAAATCTACGATTTCCGCTAACTCATAAATGTCATACATAATAGAGGTCAGAAGCCAGAAGTCCGGAAGCCGGAAGGCCGTGAAAAAACGCCCTTTATTTATTTATTTATGTACAGAAGGGGAAGCGCTAATTGGAAATTGAGAAACCGATGATAATCCGGGTGCTTTGTACTAAAAACAATTGGGTCAAATTGGATTTTTGGACATAAATGTTCAGGGTAAATATATGGTTCAGATTGGAATCTAGGATCTTTTGGATAACTCCATAGGTATGCCAAAAAACCGCATGCAAATTGCAAAACAAAAATCATAGTTGGAAATCTTGAAACCACCATATTAATACATACCTGATTTTCTTATCAACACAGTATACACATAGGTATGCCAAAAAAACTGCATGCAAATTGCAAAATAATAATCATAGTTGGAAATCTTGAAACCACCATATTAATACATTCCTGATTTTCTTATCAGCACAGTATACACTATACAGCCCTTGTTATAATAATAAAAGACCCAAAAAGGGTGATTTTGACCAGTTAGTTTTTTTTCAGTACAAAGTACCCGGATAAGGATTTCCAATTTTCCAGTTTATTTAGCGCATCCTCTTCATAAATCTCATATTGTATATATTTTATATATAAAAATGATTTTTTTTTTAAATTATTTTGTATGTACGGTGTAGTACTGTACATAAATTCAATTATTATTATTTATATATATACATTTTTTTTAAATCAATTGGTAAAAAAAATCTGGTTCAAAATACGAATTTTTGAGCTTGCCCTTCGTTTGTCGGTACATATAGTCATATTTATACCTCTGGTGGCGTAGGTCTCGTATATATATGGAGTCGTCCAAAAGATCTTAGATACCAATTTGAACCATATATTTACACAGAATATTTTTATTTAAAAACTCAATTTGATCCAGTTCAGCAAATACAGAGCAAACAATATTCCATTAATTTTCTTAATTTCCGATTTGTTCCGGCCCCTCCATGTCTTTGACCCTCTCTAGTAGTAGATGAAGAAATAGAACTAAATAAAATATAGGAGATCGAGGCCATCAAGATGCCCATGGCCCCAACCCCAATATACAACAACAAAAATGTGTTCTCTCATCTGTGACAGTCATCACTCATCACTCATTGGCAGTCTGCAGTTGAGCAGTTATGCACTCTGCACTCTGCACTGAGACTGCAGTGATGCAGTCTGCACTCTACAGTCATCACTTTGTGAAACATTAAAAATACAAAGCCTTCGTTTGAAAATTGAACATCAAATCATGCTGTGATATCTTCTTTTTATTAAACTATGTAAATAAAATTAAAGCGTATCCGCATAATTCTCAGCAATTCTAATCCAAGAACTTCAAGCATAGCCTCATATGACATCATAAAGTACTTGCAATTCGTCTTGGCGACCGGAGTGTCTGTCTTTAAGGTCATATCTGCAGCCTGTACAGCAACCAGCTTTGAACTTACTGGCGTTGCGACTGAAACGCGTCTGTGCGACTCTACCTACGTGGGCGCAACTTGCAACGCGTAGACAGATCCTCAACCGGACTACAATCTGTGTGT